CTCTCCAAATTTTGCTAAGCACTCGCTTAGAATCCGTAGCTTTCCTTTAATAAAGTTCGAACCCGGGATTCCTTTTATATCATTCTGAAGATTATATCCATATTCTCATCGTGCGATTATCATCATATTGAATCGTAAATAAACCGCTAAGATGAGCTAAAAATGGTTTTTCTAACCGTCAACCCTCGCAAAAGATCTCTGTAAAAGGCGCTGCATGACGCAGTTTATTTCAAAAGTCTAGTAAGTCTTCAGTCTTTGTCAATCTAAATTTATTCGAAATTTGTCAAAAAATGGTCTTCGATACCCTAAGCCTTTACCATGCTCTCGTCCACATCATAACCCCGTCCATCCGCGCAGTTATGCCCTTCTTCATTCCATATGTGCTCTCGAATGCTAATTTGAACGCGGAGAGGAGAGCAGAGCGGTGGTCACCACGGGTCACACCATTATCGAACATGTCCACCCTCCCTTCACCCTCCTCACACATAGACCTCCTCATCGCCCTTATCCACTTAACTATACGTCGTCTGCTCTGTTCCATAGGATATTACATATGCGATAACCCGATAAACCTATGAAAATTCGATAGATGAAGCGGGGCGGCGGTTATCGCTCACATGCAGGGCTTGAAGCTTTGTTCAGGAAGGCGGGTTAAGTAAAACACCATTTTTTTAACTTGGAGTGATTTTGGCAAAGTCTGTCGCTGCAGTGTGCTTAGATCTGACTTTAGCAAAATAGGTGATAATTCTTTTTGCAGCAAAATGTTAACGATTGGCGAAAAAAAATTTCCTTGCGTTTGTAAAGCCAAAATGTCTTTGGAGTTTAGTTTTTAGTTCTTGTTTCTAGTTTCTACTGGCTTTTCCCACTGGGTTTTTTCGTAAATATTTGCAGTTATAATCGTCAATAAAAAGAGAGATGGGAATCTAAAACATCTACTCGTGTAGATCTTTTAGTTAGCACCTAGAACTAATTGGGCTTGTAAAGTCCAAATCCTTGCTCTTTTTCAAAATGACGTATTGGTAATACTCTACCAATAAGCTTCTAAAACTCTCAATAATACAGGGAAGAAGGCAAAGAAATTTTTTAAAAAGTGCACAACTTTGACTAGGAGAAATTATGTTCGGTAGGATTACTTGAAAACTATTTGCAGATATCCTTTCTAAATAGAGTATAGCATTTCCTACGTAAATTTTTTCTTGCAAACATTCACTTTTCACTTTCTGACATGTAAATTTCAAAAAATACAAAAAAATCCGTCTTCAATATGATGTGGTGTGGGCGGCTCACTTTTTCTAATGTTGGATGACGTCGTTTATTTTTTTAAAAATAACTCGATATGAGAAGTGCAAATATCTGTTTTTGCAAGTAAATCCAGTCAGTCAACTTATAAAAAAA